CTCTGGGAACTCAGAATTGCTGCTGGCTGTTTCTTCCCTGAACTCTCACACCCACCCCAGCCAGAGTTCACTTGTCCAGGGTCAAATACCTGACCGGAGCAGGGCCAAGTTCCCATCCTTGAGGTCTGGAATTGAGACCCTGAGGGACTGAGGGTCGGGTTTGTGGCTAAACCCAGAGCAGATAAACACAGGAGCTGTTACAGAGCTGTCTGTGGAGTACAGACTGACAAAGGCTACATTTCCAAGATGAAAGACTGAAGCCATTTTACAGAGAAGAACAGGCAGGGAATGGAGAGAAATTCCTGAGGGATTCTAGCCCATTTCTAAGTCTTGGTAGCATTTCTGCATTTCATTCTATGAGACACTCTTACGTTCTTATAATAAAATCTCTTTTATGTTAAAGTTGGTTTAGGTTGGCTTTAAATATTTGTAACTAAAAATCTTTTACCACTATGTTCTCATTTCAATAAAATAAATTATACTAGAAATTATAAACAGAAATGACTTGGGAATATTACTTATTAAAATTAGATTTGGGGAGATTGCTGAAATAATGCTGAGGGGCTCTTTGCATCGTTAGTTTTGAAGTGATATGTAGTTTTTCCTTCAGGATGAAGCAGGAACACGAAGAGAGAAAAATAGTAAGTGCCTGGGAACCACAGACAATAGTCAATGACAAAGCAAAGGACCAAATAGTTAAAACAGGAACCTAAGTCATTCCTCCATGCTCCCTAAACCTCGGCCCTTATATCCAACCCATTGCTAAAGCCTGCCTGTTTCCCCACCTGACAATCCCGTGAGTCTGCCTCCATCCACTCTAAGTGGCCAGCATTTCTCAAGAGAACTCCCACAGTGACCTCTGTAAGGGGACTACTAACAGCCACTCTTTTTAGCCAAATAGTTAAAACAGGAACCTAAGAGTCATTCCTCCATGCTCCCTAAACCTCAACCCTTATATCCAGCCCATTGCTAAAGCCTGCCTGTTTCCCCACCTGACAGTCCCTTGAGTTTGCCTCCATCCACTCTAAGTGGCCAGCGTTTCTCAAGAGGACTCCCACAGGGACCTCTGTAAGGGGACTACTAACAGCCACTCTTTTTAAAAAAATATGTTTTTATTGATTTCAGAGGGAGAGGGAGAGGGAGATAGAAACATCAATGATGAAAAAGAATCATTCATTGATCGGCTGCCTCTTGCATGCCCCCCAACTGGGGAACAAGCCCGCAACCCAGGCATGTGCCCTGACTGGGAATCAAACTATGACTTCCTGGTTCATGAGTTGACATTCAACCACTGAGCCACACTGGCCAGGCCTGACAGCCACTCCTGCCACCAGTGTTTCCCCACACTGTGATTAAAGAGCTAAAAAAGCCCAGTGGATCCTGTCACCCCTTCCAGGCCAGACTTCCTTTTGCTCTTCCCCTTGCAGCCTTATAAGCTACAGCGTTGTCCATCTGTCCAGCCTCATCGCAACCCCGCCCCCACCTGCCTGGGCCCCTGCCGTGGGCCTCCTTTCTGTCCTTGCCTTGTCAGGTTCCCTCCACCGTGAGCCTTTGCCTATGTCATTCTCTCTCCTGCAACCATCTTTTCTGCCACTTTCCCCAGCTTTCCTGAGCTTCTCTGACTACATCGTTACTCCTAGTGGGATACTGTGTGCCCGTCTTTTCTACCATTTGTAATCATAGCGGTTTTGTTCCTAGTTCTCTTCCTTATTTGTTCATCTGTTTATTCTACTAGACTGTGAGCTCCACCAGGACAGGGGTCTCTGACTTAGTCCTAGCCCCTAACAGGATATCTAACAGGAGATTAAGACATGTTTATTCAATGAGTAAATATGTGGAAAGGTAGAAGAAATAAAAAGAAAGCAAACCCCCCCCCCAAAAAAAAATTAGCCTCCAACTTTCACACCCTTTTTCAAAGTTGGGTTTATGAAATTTAGTTGTGTTTAACTCACAGTTCCTCTTAGATGCTAGGCTATTTATGAACAATGTTATTAATGATGCTAAAATTCTTTTGACAAGTAGGGATATAAGGTTGTCAGGAGAGAAAATAGAATTCATGTGAGTGGGACTCCTAAGCCAGCCCACAAATGCCTGTTTAACCCACAGTGTCTCTAAAACAGTAATTTTAAGCCCTGAAATCGACTGAGCCCCTGGGAGCTTTGAGAGGGACTCTGGGGATACGGCAGGAAAGAGGCCTCCGATGACTAGCAACCTCAGAGCTCTGTGAAGGGAGGTGCTCTGAGAGGCGAGTCCTCAGTCTGCCATTCCGGTGCTGAGCAGGGGCCGGGCAGGGGGAATGGAGGGGAGCCTTGGGGACCACGAGAGGAACAAGGTGCTCAGAAGCCAGTTGATCTGACTGGCCAGAGCAGGCTCCTTTCCCTTCCCTTCGGTGCATGCCTTTTGAAACTGGGTGACCTTAAGCAGAAGACTCAAGTCGCCCTGCTGGAGGAAGTCTTTTCTTTCATCTAGACTGCATTTGGGGCTAGAGTTTCTGCATAAATGTTCCATCCCCAGAAGAAGAAAGGAAAGGAGGTTCCACAGTCGGAAGGATTAGTGCAGAAGCCTTGTGAGAGCAGGGGAGCCCCCAGAAGAAGAAAGGAAAGGAGGTTCCACAGGAAGGATTAGTGCAGAAGCCTTGTGAGAGCAGGGGAGTGGCGTCAGCTTGTAGAGGTGACAATAGGCTTTGGTTCCTGGAGAGAAGGGTGGGTGGCACTCAGGGAATGCGAAGGCCCGAAGGGAGGAAGAGAAAACACAGGCTACTTGCCTGACAGTGAGGGACATGCATATTCTGCTATTACAATGACCAGATTTTCTGGCAAGTATTCCCAGAGCCCGTCGGTTGGTAGAAGGACCAGTGACTTCGGCTAAACCTTCCTAGAGAGGATCAGTTTTATTTGAAAAAAAGAAGAATCTGGCTGCAACGTCAGTTTAAAACCCAGAAAATACCGTTTCTCTAAACAATTGCGATGAATGGTTCTCCTGAAATGAGGTAGTACAGAATGCTCTGCAGAAGCATTTTTGTTAAAATTCCCACAAAGAGGATTGACTGAAATTAAACCCGGGGTTCTTTCCAAAGAGCTTGACAAATACCATCATCCATTCTGTAAGAAGCACAGGAATTCTGATGAGAACACATTTTTCAAGAATTCATTACCCCCGTCCCTTTCACCCAGGAGGGGGCCTCTTATTCAGGCTGCTGGATGTAACCAGTGAACCGAATACTTGAAACCAATTTGCTGGTTTGAGAAGAGGTTATTGATTCTCACAGCATGTGTATACTTGGAAAATTTTATTGTTTAACTCTACACGCGGATGATTTTTGCCTCATGCTACTTTAAGTCAGGCAGCCTGGGTGAGGAGTATGAATGCTCCTTGTTTTATTGAAGTCTTCAGAGGACTTGAAAAATGTTAAACATGAGTTTAAAAGACTGTATGTGCTTTGCAGAAGGCGTCTGGTTAGGTGAGGGATATGGTTTGTAAGCATGTGCTTTATTTTGGGAGGAGGATATTGGGAGAGAAATTGCCTGTGCATCTTGCCCAGAAGAAAGAGAGCCATGGAGGTGATGGATAAGACACAAATTAGATCAATATATTCCTGGATCTTGTTTAAAATGATCACTGCTTGGGCTATTTATTGTTTTCAGAATTGCAAAACCCAATCAATGTATTATTAATATCAAATTAGCATTTATTTGCCATATGACCTAAATTTGCATTCTTAAAATAAAAGGAAGTGTCCTCCATCACTGAGGGGAAGGAGGAACAGAGGGAGTATGGTGTCAGGCACACACATACTCTCTGAATGATTTTGTGTGTTTGTACTATTTTTCACTAAATAATAAAAACTTATTAAATAATGTTTAACTTTTTTGGTGGGTAAAAATGAACAAAGACCACCCTGGCTGGTATGGTGCAGTTGGTTGGGCATCATCCCATGCAGCAAAGGGTTGCCAGTTCAATTCCTGGTCGGGGCACATGCCTGGGTTTCAGGCTTGATCCCCAGTAGGGGGCATGAGGATGCAGCCAATTAATGTTTCTCTCCTATCTCCCTCTTCCTTCCTCTTCCTCTAAAAATAAAAATCTTTAATGAAAATAAAAAATAAATTTCTTAAAATGAACAAAAACTGTTTAAAAATTTTTTTCAATTGCAGTTGACAATAGTATATTAATTTCAAGTGTACAACATAGTGAGTAGACATTTATATACCGTATAAAGTGATCGACTCCATAAGTCTAGTACATTTTAAAAAAATATATTTTATTGATTTTTTACAGAGAGATTCTTCAATTGCAGTTGACAATAGTATATTAATTTCAAGCATACAACATAGTGATTAGACATTTATATACTGTATAAAGTGATCGACTCCATAAGTCTAGTACATTTTGAACTAGAACATTTGAGGCCAACATCCCTTCTGGGCGTTTGTAAGAGTATGTAGGAGGTAAAGCCACATGCTGCTGAATATTTCCCTTCAGAGCCTGGACATGTGGTCCACCCCAGCCAACTACCCCCCTCCACTTTTTCCCTAGAAATATTATCATTGGTTCAGGGAAGGTTCATTCCAGCAGGAAGTCTGCCATTTTGAACCAATTTGAACTGCCTTTGTAGCCGAAGGAAATGATTGATTGTTCCCAATCATCATTTATAAGGTGACCATTGGGAACAGGCTTGCTGATAAATTCACAGCCACAGGGGAGGATTTTAATTTGCAACAAGAAAAATTTCCTTCTGCTGAATGAGGAGAGACTTCTCTGACCCTTACCTGTGTGGGGTTCTGGTGGGACGCAGGCCCTATGGGGATCTATCGACTTGCACTGAGGAGTTTTTATAATACACAGCTGTGTTTTAGAACCGACACTCCCTAAGTCCTCATTTGGAGTGGGCAATTGGTGGAGAAAAGAATCAAGTTATTTTTCTCAAACATCTGCATTTTTTTTTGCTTTGATGGTGTTTTTTAACTGACAAGTTATTTCTATTTCAGGGCCTGTAGTTCATGCAGAAGATTGTCCTATGAAACAGAGAGGGTAACTGAAACTAAAGAAAGGACCCCACGTCTAACGAAAGGTGGGAGAGAAGGAGCAGAAGTCTCAATGAACGAACAGGGTAAGACACAAGCTGTGCATGGACAGGTAGCCATATGAGAAATATCTAGTTCCCAGTGGTGACTACTGGAATGTGAAGCTCATGACGGACACAGCCTCAACATAAGGATCTTGTGTTAAAAATTTCCAAAGGCTGCACAGTAGGCACACCAGCCATACAAATACTTGTAATATGTTAGAAATATAACTGTTATATTTCTACACTATTGCACACTTTGGTGATTAGCCACTTGGGATACTGTCTGCTGAATTTCTTTCTTTTTTAAAAAAATCCTAACCCAAGGATAAGTTTTTATTGATTTGAGAGAGAGAGAAGAAGAAGGAGGAGGAGGAGGAGGAGGAGGAGGAGGAGGAGGAGGAGGAGAGAAGGCTTTGCAGGCAGGGAGGGAGTAGGGGGAGAGAGAGAGAGAGAGAAACATTGATCAGTTGCTGCCTCTCATACACACCCTGACAGGGGATCAAACCCACAACCTGGCTATGTCCCCTGACCAGGAATCAAACCGATAACCCTTCAGATGCATAGAACAATAGTCCAACCAACTGAGCCATATTGGCCAGGGTCTATTTACTGAATTTCTTGAGAAAATCTCCAAGAGTCAGCAGTTAGTTCTGACTGAGGCAGCTTTCAAGATATGAGATTCATCATCTGTAGGTATTAGGGTCACCTTGGAATTCAACCTTCAGCCCAGTCTAGAGCAGGTCACCTGAAACTGAAATTCTTCTGAGACACAAGAACAGGAAAGAGTTCTTAATATGAAGGAGGATGCGAAGTGAATTTTTCCCTTTTTGCTCAAGGGAGGAACCAAATTTAAAGGGGTGGTGAGAACACTGGCAGAATGATGTTTTTAATATACTAGGGGCCCAGTGCACAAATTTGTGCACCTTGAAAGGAACTGTGGGCTGCAAGGCTGCAGTGGGCCCAGGGGCGGGTCTTGGCCCATCCTCTGTGCCCCTGCCCAGCCCCTCCCACTGTGGCCCCTGGTCCCATCTGCTGGCAGCCCCGCTCCTGCCAACGTCGCTCCCACACGCTGATGGTGCCGGCCCCCTCACACCAGCTCATGGCGCGGAGTGATTGGGGTCGGTGCCAGCAGTGGGTGCGAGCAGCAGCTGCTGCCCTGATTGCCCTTCAGGAGCAGGGGGAGGTGGAGAAGCCCTCAGGGGCAATCGGGTCAGCAGCTGTTGCTCACACCTGCTGATAGCACCAAGAAATCAGGGCTAGAGCGGCTCCAGCAGTGGCAGTGGGTGCGAGTGGGTGGAATCACGGAGTGCGGGAGCAAAGAATTTTCAGTAACGACCAGAGGCTCGCCCTGATGACAGCAACCGGCACCACACCTTGATCTGGCACCCCCGCTCATCTGTTCCACCATCCTGCTGCCCTGTTCCGCGCTCTACCACCTGCTGCCAACACCTGCCACGTTCCCCATGTGCCCCCTGGTGGTCAGCACATGTCAATGCCACCAGTTGTTCAACTGTTCGGTTTTTCCACCGTTCTGTCTATTTGCATATTAGGGTTTTATATATATAGATTAGCTTATTTTCCCACTCTGGCAGCTCCTGTTGCTCTGCCTCTCCCCCAACCCCACTCAGGCATCTTTTATTGTGTCTGGGGAAGATGAGAGAACAGAAAAAATGGGCTTTTGATCATCAAAAGTCAAGACCCTCTAGGCATTTGGCATAGAAACTAAGAAGAATTGAAGAAGGCTTCTAGCCACAGTTAGAACATGAAGTTTTCCAGAAGTGCTGGCGGGGAGTGGAGAGAGGGCATGACCTTGGGGAGGAAAGAGCTCTTAGTTGTTAGTGGGAGGTTGAGGAGGAGCAAAGGGAAGGTGAGGGGGTAGAGGGAAAGCAGCGGGGACTCATTTTTAGAACCTGGTGGCCTCTCTCTGCTCTAAGAAGGAGGCTCTTTGCCTTGTTCCCCAGAGGGAAAGGTGATGGACACAGAAACCCCAGCTGGCGTGGGTTGTCATCACTTCCCGCTTCTGTCCAAGGAGACTACAAAGCCCTGGAACAGAAATGGCTGAGTGGTGTCTAAGGTACAGAGAATCCGAGCCACCTCAGGGAGGTGAGAGTATCCAGCACAGTGCGAGGGTGTTAGAACGAGTCCTCTGTGCCCAGCAAGTGCCACCAGAGCAGTAACAAAGGAACCACAACTTTCAACTGGCACCGAAGTGGGGGCAGTCTTGTAGAATGGAGCCCTTAACTTGTGGGATCTGACTCCACCTCCAGGTAGAATTCCAAAATTAAACTGAGTCGTAGGACACCCAGCTGATGTCAGAGAATTGTTGGGATCAGAGTGTTTTGAGTAAAAAAAGTTCAGACCTTTTCATGTCGTCTCTGTTTTCCAAGGCGTACTTCAGATTTCACCTATTCCCTGGCACCTTTCCAGACCTCTCAGTTATTTTTATTTTCTCCATCCTCATGTGCCTTTATCAATTCACACATTCCTTATAGCCCATTATCAAAGCCCATTATCAGCCTTGTATTGCCAGTGAAGTTAGTGTCAGCTGCTGGGTGTGAACCCGGAAGCTTTCAGTCTTGTGTCCTCCCAGCACCTACCATGGATTTATACCCCCGAGGCTGGCAGGTATTTCGGTGCCTGGTATGTAATAAAGCCTCCAAACCTAGTCGTGGAACTAAATTGAATTTAAAATTCTCATGAAACGTGAGACAGATCCTTCCTTTACTTGTTGTACGGCCTTGGGGTTGTTGTTGCTTAACCTGGATCCGGTTCTCACTCTGTAAAACGGGTGGACAATGAAGCCTACTTCCTAGGTTGTGGTGAGAATTAAATGAGAATGGAGATAAAGGGCCTGGCGCATAGTGTGTGCTCAATACAGAGTGGCAAGGAAAAAAAGCACAGCACCGGTATTTAATGCACCATCAGCACTGATTTGCAATGATTTATGCTTCCTGGTGTTCTTGCTTCCAGCCTCTGCTTTGGGCCCGGAAGGAAAAGAAATTTGCCGGAGACGAGTCTCAGACTCTTCCTTGATTATGAGCAAGAGGTTCCTGGATCTAGGAGGTGAGTAAAAATGACCTGGGCTTTGTTGTGGAAACTTCATTCTAAATTCCTGGCACAACGAAAAGGCCAGAGCTAACAGTAGAATCATCAATTATCTACTAGCACCCAGAAAAGATGGGAGATCTTAATGCTTATCTAAAATTTAGAAGAACCTTTGCTAAAAATGGAGGTGATTAGGAGAGAATGTCAGGGCTCTCTAACAGCCGTAAAACCACCCCGAGACCTTTGATGGAAGGACTTGCCTATTTTCTGAGCATAGGCCCGCATTAACACAACCTCCCACTCCAAAGCTATAGCCTATCTCTAAATCAGGGAACCAGAATTATGCCCAGAGCATCGCATGCCTGCAGTGGGCCTGGACAGCTGCGGCTGGAGAATGGAGGATGAGGTTGCCCGAGATCGCCTTCCCCGTGGCCTCAGACCAGATGCATTTGGGGTTGTTGGAAGGTTGGGAAAAGAAACTCTCATCCTCTGTTTCCTGCCTGTGCTCTCCCCAAGCTTCATACCCCTTAGTTTTATCATCTTGAGCACAGGATGGTGTGAATATTATGGTTTGAATGAATAAAATGGTGGTCTGTCCATATGAATTGTTTTCTGCTGCACACTCTTGATTTCAAATTTGTGTTAGTGTACTAGTATATCAATCAAGTTGTCCCTGCATGAACTGGGAAATGCCTAATGTCTTTCTGCTCTTAATGATTTATAACCTAGATGACATACCACATTAACACGTGGATCTCTCTTAAAAATGCAAGTGTCTGCTTCCCCCCAATTGTACTCCCAAATGAGAGTGTGAGTCCGTGGGTCTCCGGATAGCCCACTGGAATCTACATTTTAAAAAATCTCAACGAATTATTTGGCTTTGCAGCCAGAGCTCAGAACGGCTCTGCACTGTAAAGCTCCGTGGCTCTTCTTAATGAGAACAGTGAGAGAGGGAGCATGTCTTCTTTTGAGATGCAAAATCTTGGTTGACCTTTTCATTTTTGTCTTGTTTTCTGCCAGTTGGTGGGCATAAAATAGGAAACGAGCTGAAATGAGATTAGGAATACTTCTAAAGTAGACAAGATCGGGCATGACATAGAAACAAGGACAAGCCCAGAACACACTACAGAGACTCTCAGTGAAAGTGAAGGCGAACTAGTGAGGGTTATCCCAGCCAGCTAGGAATGCGGGCCGGGAAAATCAAGTAAAGGGTATAACCTAGGACAAAGAGGCAGATAGGAGGATGGAGTAGCTGTATTTTATAAGTTCTAAAACATTCATATTTCACATTTTAACATCCCTGGCATCTGTTGGTCTGAGCCAAGTGGATGCATTTGTCATTGTCCGCGCAGAGCAAAGTTGTTATTCTTCATGGCGGCATAACCGGGCAACTTCAATCCCTAAAGCAAACAATTTAAGGGCTATTTGAAGAAAGAATAAAAATCTTAATTGTTGTCCAAAAACCTACTGTTGTCATTTGCTGGTTACAACAAAAAAGTAACAACATAGAAGCCTTCAGATCAAACATTCCTGCTTGGAGAAATAGTGGAATGCTTTTTAAAAGAAATACTACATTCTCAATGCTCTTGCTGGCACAGACACTAATATTGTGTGAAAAAATAGGAACAACATGCCATTTCTGAGTTGAAAAGTGATCCAGGAGAGTTGGAATTTAAATGCGAAGAAGTTTGGGGTATAGTTTTATTGGCAGCATTTTTTTTTCTCTCTTAATGGTAGATATTAGTAATGCATCTTACAACTGATGGTGTCTTAGATTTAGTGTGATATGGTATTTGTGTTGGTCTTTACAAAGGAAAATATTAAAGAAAATTCTCAACTCTAAATAGTCCCATGAAAAAAAGCATATGTAGTTTTTTTTTGTTGTTTTTTTTTGGTTTTTTTGCTCATATGTGGGCTATAAACCTGAAAGCAACAAATGAACAAACAAGACAAACAAAAACTCATAGACACAGACAATAGTACGGTGGTTACCAGAGGGAAAGGTGGGTTGCGGGGGAGATAGTAAAGGGTAAAGGGGGTCAAACATATGATGACAGAAGGAGATTTGACTTTGGGTGGTAAACACAATGCAATATCTAAATGATGCATTATAGAACTGTATGTTTGACACCTGTATAATCTTATTAACCAATGTCACCACAGTAAGTTTAATAAAAAAAATTTTAAGCATATATAAAACCATATATGGGACTCAGGGAATCATAGACCAGTGGGTGTCTAACTCCCATAAAGGAACTTCTCTCTGAAAAAAAAGAGGGCAGAACCACCATATATTAAAACAATAATAACATTTTTAAAAAGCAGGTTTTTTTCATTAAGAAGGAATTATTCCAATTTAATAGAATTTTTTTAAGAATTAAGTGGGCACATGACCCAGGCGGGCTTTCAAAAAGTCTGTCCTATATGGAGGGTTATTCATCCCCCTCCTCTCAGGCTTGAGTTCCCCTAAGATTCATTTTCTCTATATTGGGTGCCTCCTAGTAGAATTCCTCAAGACCCATGATCCACAGGTCCTATTCCACTTCTGTATGCTTCCCTTTCAATAACTCAAAATAGCTTTTATTCAAACCTCATGTTGCTCTTCCTCAGGCTAAACAACTCTTTCTTCAAAAATTCATCAAAATCTATTTTTTTGAGACCTTCCCATTCTTGAATCTATCTTCTAAATACCCTCCAATTTGTCTGTATCCCTTATAACTGAGTAACATACAACCCAGGTTGTCAAGGAGTCTTAGTTTATGCTTGTTTTCCAGGCTTAATCATCACCCAAAACCCTTTCAATCTAGAAAGTGTCCTGGTTGACCAATATCATATATGGTCTGCCTACTTTCGACTGAACTGAATGCAGTATCTAAGGGTGGGCGGACAGTAAGAATCAGAGCAGGGCTCTCACCATCCAGGTCTTGGTATTTTACAATAGTCAAACATGCATTAGTGACTTGGGCCATACATCACACCATTTTTTCCTCATGTTAAGCTTGTGGCTGGTTGCTAATCCTCAATTCTTTCCCTCAAAGCCACATCTTCCCTGTGCAGTGCTGGTTCCGGTGGCTCTGTGGCATTTGTTCTTACTGAATCTCATGATGTTAGAATTGGTTTATGCTTATTTTCCAGGCTTAATCATCAAACAAAACCCTTTCAATCTAGAAAGTGTACTGGTTGACCAATATCATATATGGTCTGCCTACTTTTAACTGAACTGAATGCAGTATCTAAGGGTGGGCAGACAATAAGTATCAGAGCAGGGCTCTCACCAGCCAGGTTTTGGTATTTTACAATAGTCAAACATGCATTAGTGACTTGGGCCATACATCACACCATTTTTTCTTCATGTTAAGCTTGTGGCTGGTTGCTAATCCTCAAGTCTTTCCCTCAAAGCCACACCTTCCCTGTGCAGTGCTGGTTCCGGTGGCTCTATGGCATTTGTTCTTACTGAATCTCATGATGTTAGAATTCAACCCATTGTTCAGTTGCGTTAAATTGTGTCATCCAAAATTCTGCCTTATCCATTCCAACTTCCTGCTAACAGAATATATTATCTTGCTCTTCTGTATCATTATCCAAGTTCTTGATTAAAAAGATTGCATAGGGTTGTCTTGTGGTGTGTCACCTCTTTTTAGTTTGACCTCCATTTGCATCCTGGAGTCATTTAACATCACAAACTCACTTAACTGTACAACCATACAATTATTTTCGTTGCTACTTCATAACTGTAATGTTGCTACTGTTATGAATCGTAATGTAAATATCTGATATGCAGGATGGTCTTAGGCGACCCCTGTGAAAGGGTCATTCGACCGCCAAAGGGGTCGCGACCCACAGGTTGAGAACCGCTGATCTAGATCCTAGACCAAAAAAGGGCAAGGAAAAAAAAAGAAGTTATGTCTAATGTGACTCCTTTTTAGCCCCCACAAGGCCTTGGAAATGTAATGACTGACAGAATAGGTCAGTGCTCAATGAATATTTGTTGATGCCTGATTTTTCATTGAAATGTAAGCGGAAGATCTTCCCCATGTCTCCTGCTGTGAAAAAAAAGTCTATTTCTTTACACCTGTCAAGGACATCTGCTTTGGGGGGTCCCACACACAGACTAGGTCCACATCAGAGTATGAATTGACTATTTGCTAATCACATAAATATTATTGCTGAAGTGAAAACATGATGCGGCTAGAAGTGTGAACCAAATGCTGGAGGTGCCAGCTCTTTAACGTAAGCAATTAATTAGGCATCATCTTCAAGTCTGGTGATAGGTCCCAGGGTGTTAATCAAATCAAATATCACCAGCTGCTGAGAGAGCAGGCTCTTTCAGGAAGCATTCCCCGCACCAAAGGGGAGATGAAGTTGGCATTGAAATAGATTTCCTGAGGCTCCAATAGGGAAGGAATTGTGGGAAACTGCTTTGTGGGCATGTCCATAACAGATCAGACAAACACTGTCTTGTGTCACCTGGAGGGGTGACAATAGCCTAGAGGTGGAAGACAGACAGAGCTGGGTTCAAGGTTTGGTTCTGTTTCCTTGTAGATTTGGAAAATTATATAATCTGTCTGAGCCTTAGTGTCTTCAGCATTAAAATGGAGGTAAGGACACCCACCTTGCAGAGTTTTTGTCAGGATAAGAGACTACATAGATGGCACCCAGGGCAATACCCAGCCAGCAGGAAGGATGCTATATGGCAGGTGGGTGGTAGTGATGGTCGTTGTTAATGATGAATGGGTTCTGGTCTACCCTCTGCTATAGGTGTGACCTTGGACATACCCTTAGCTTTTCAGAGCTTGCTCTTCCCCATCTCTGAAAAGGCAGGAGTGGACTAGATGGAGTTAAGGGCTAACTGCCCATCATTCTTTGACAGAGATGGGAATTAGGCCAACTCTGAGATAAGTGGAATAAGATATGAGAAAAGTGCACTGGTAGGTAGGAGGGTGATGTCCCATAGGGAGTTCATTTTTCCCCCTCCATTCCCCCCCCCCCCCCCCCCGCAGAGCAGACTGGAGAACACCTGAAATAAGCCATCATCTCAAGTCCTCACCACCATACCTGCCTGGCTATCATCACATGTGTGTGCATGTTAACACCACAGCAAGGGCACCTTGAAGGAAAAAGTAATTTTTGGAGGGTGAGGCAGGCCTCTCTTGAACTATTGGGATACTTAAAATAACATTTCTTTTTCTTTTTTTTTTTGCAAATTAATACATGGTTGATGCAGAGAGCAGTGAACACATAGTTTAAAGCAACCATCATTGGCATTCTGTGTATACTCTTCCAGGTTTTTTGTTTATTTATTTTATATATAAAACAAAAATGACCTTATAATATCAACCATGATGCACTTTCCTGGGTATTTCCCCTGCCCTTCATTGTCACTGCTGTTTAATGATGCCTGTTAATAGTGACGCGTTGGTTATGTAGCAGAGGTCTCCAGAATAGGAGGTTTGCCCGGAGGCCATATGCAAGGCAATCTATCAGAGAGCAGGAAGGACATTTTACAATTTCTGTGTATATTTTTACCTCTCCTTTTTAAAAGTGTGTGTGTGTGTGTGTGTGTGTGTGTGTGTGTGTGTTTTGTTCATAAAATGTAAAACTATGTCTGGAGGTAGGCAGTCCAGAGCTGGGATGGTGGCTCAAGGGTACCTTCAGAGACTGAATTTCTTTCCAACCTTCTTCCTTTCCACTGTAGATACAGGCCTTCATTTCAGGCCTGTAGCCTCCTGTTTGCAAGACGGCTGCTGTATACTTGTGCTTTATATCTACATCCCAGGCAGGAATAATGGGAAAGAATGAAGGGCCACGGATCTTCTCCTGGTGAGGCTTTGCTTTTTATTCAAGAAAGAATGTTTTCCTTCTCATTGGACAAACAAGGGAAGTGGGGAAATTGAAAATCTGTCACTTTTCAGCCTCTGGCGAAGGAATTCAAAGAGATAGGGAATTGGGAATTGTTTGGGGGTCGACAATCCATAGGGTCTGCCATGGTTCTCTCCTCAGGTGTGTGCACACATACACAGCTTTGCCAGGTAATTTCAGGGGGTTCCTCTCGTAAGTGGGGGTGGAATGGAAGCCGCTCTCCAGGCCCACATTGAGACCACTGCATGGACGCTCTGCTCAGCCCAGAGCCAGTGGACACGAGTGAAGCAACAGGGGAAGGAGGTAGAAGACACAACAGAGAGTGACAATATGTATATGAATGGGAGAGGCAGATACAGAGAGCAGCATGGCCATGAAGGTTATTAGTAGCATACATTGTGTAGTCCTCAGGTATCTGAAGATTAAGAGAGTGCACCACCCTGCAGGAGAAGTCAGCTCTCCAATGAGAGGTAGGGGTAGTGAAGGTGGTGGTGGGGGAGGGCACCCTTCAATGAAAAGTTGGGCCACATCCTATTAATGTCTGTGGAGTTACAAGACATTCATCAGGAATTCAAAGGGTTTGGTGACTTGCAGATTTGAAATCTGATACAGAACAATTCATTAAGAGAGGCTCATGTCTATAGAATGCTGCAACATGATGTCCCATTAGGTGTTGTAAATAATTTCACCTGTAATTAGCTGCCTACACATTTGTAGGAACTGATCATAATGTTTGGGAATATATGAGTTGCTGAGATAATACACACACAAGCAGCAAAATAATTAGCACCATCCTCCAAACCAGCCCACCGGGTCCAGTACAAACTTTCCAGAGTTGGAAAAATCACAGCTTCCCCCAGTATCCTTGGTCCATTGTAAACTGTAGAAGCAAACGATTTTAAAGAACAACACAGGTGTGTGAGCCACGTGTATGTTCCTAGAGTCTAGATGACTTGATGATATCAGAGGAGAATATCGTGTTGGAAAATAAGTAAAACAAAGCTTACAAAGCAAAGCCTCACTTAACAGCACTGGCCAGGGCTTTTTAAATCTATTTTTAGAGCCTCAGCCCATGCACCAAAGGGTTTCAGGTTTGATTTCTGGTCAAAGGCACGTACCTGGGTTGAGGGTTCGCTCTCCTGTCCCCAGTTAGGGAGCATGCAGGAGGCAACCAATTGATGTGTCTCTCTCATCTCTCACATCGATGTCTCTCTCTCTCTCTCTCTCTCTCTCTCTCTCTCTCTCTCTCTCTCT